AGTGGTCCGGCCCGGCGGGTAGGGGGGGTGGGGAGGGGAGCGGGGGGGAGAGAGAGAAGGGGGGCGGCCAGGGCTTCAGCGGAGCGCTGCCACGCGGCCCCTCCCACTGTGCCCCCTGCCAGGAGGCCTCCACGCCACTCCAGTCGGCTGGGAGGGAAAGACGCGGGCTGCCCTGCCAGGCTTGCTGCAGGGTGCTCCCATCCTCCACGCCGCTGCCGCCTACAGGGCAGCCAGAGTGGAACAAAAAAAAAAAAGCGGCCGTGCCGCCCTAGGATTGGGCGGAATGCCGCCTCCTACAAGCTGCCGCCCCAAGCACCAGCTTGCTCAGCTGGTGCCTGGAGCTGGCCCTGCTAGTGGGGGTTCTATGTGCAGCTACAGAATCGGGACCTTAGTATGGCAAGCAACAGGGAAGCAAAACAAAAAAGCACTATTTATTATGTACTAATATAGGCAATAGCTATTTGCTAATGAGAGAAGAAATTATTTTTCTGTGTGATTTGTTAAAAACACATGTCTGGTCTGACCTATGGTGGTATGATAAGGTATCGCCACAGCTACTAACGAATAACAATGTAAGATTTCCTAATGTCTAGCAGGTTTTATCACTCATGATTTTCATAGCTGGAATATTTCATACTATTGCATGTTTATTATCTTTTTTTTTAAAAGGAAATTACAGTAAAGCATCAGAGTTATGAACATCAGAGTTACAAACTGAACAGTCAACCACATATCTCATTTGGAACTGGAAGTACACAATCAGGGAGCAACAGAAACAAAAAAAAGCAAATACAGTACAGTACTGTAAAGTAAACTATGAAAAAAAATAAAGGGAAAGCAGCATTTTACTTCTGCATAGTCAAGTTTCAAAGCTGTATTAAGTCAATGTTCAGTTGTAAATTTTTGAAAGAACCACCATAAAGTTTTGTTCAGAGTTACGAACCACCTCCATTCCTGAGATGTTCGTAACTCTGAGGTTCTACTGTAGTAAATAACAGCCATAAGAATCAATAACTGGGCACTTACTTGCAGGTGATGGGGTGCTGCATCCCCTAGTTGGGGGGTTACCCTGGAGTCCATGAAGGGAAGGAAGTGAAAGTCCACCGATGACTGGAGGAAAAAGTAATGGATATGGGGCTGTTGGATAGTGATTCATATGTCCGTTCACTGTTGGTACTGGACACGTGCGGCTGCTGGTTGTCATGTTAATACCTCAAAGGCTATGAGGTGTACAAATACTATGTTGCATTACTCCAGGCCAGGACATGAATATCTCAACTTGTGAATGGAAGAGGCTGACAAACCTGCAGGTACTGCTTGAGCTGGAGTGTGTGAAGATGAGAAGATAATTCACTAGATAACAATCCTTTATTTCATTGCTGCTTTCTACTGTTTTTTCCAGTACATTCTTGCTGTGCAGATTGAGAACAGAAAATCTTCTTTTCCTAATCTGTGCATGTGGTGTGCAGTTCAGCTGCTTATTTAAATAACTTTTTTTTCTGGAAAGATAGCTTCACTCTACAGATGCATGCTGATTTATTCTGGAGGGGAAAAAATAAAATATATTGGTATATTACGCATAAAAGCGGAAAATCTTTCTGTTCTGTGCTTACTTTGTAAAGAAAAGTATTTACCAGTGTCCCATAACATGGACCTGACAATCACTGGGATGAAATCCCGACCCAATTCATTTCAATGGGCCAAGATTTCAGCACTGAATGTTTTATTGCTAATCAGACACAAGTTCTGTTTTAGAAACTGCCAAATTCTGAACTTTGATCAACCAAATTAGCTGAAATCCTGATGTGTGGGGGGGAAAAAATCAAGTAAAGATTAAATGTTCTTCAAGATATATTGTATCAGCACAAGTCAAATCCTATAAATATATTTGGGGTGTATTTTTTTAAAGTGTGTTTAGCAAATACAAATCATCCAGTTTCAGTCCTGAAAACTCATCCCCATAACAGATACAGAATGAGTGGCTGGAGTGGAAGCTCCCCACTCTACTTCACCAGAATGCCTCAGTTCTGGTCCAGAAGAACCACCTCTGTGGTTCATTGTCGATAGGCCATTCAATCCTTGACCTCTTGTGTTAGGGTACTGTCTATACCAGGAACATGTATTAACTGACCCAAAGACAGTGTAAACAAGCCCTTAGACTGCCAACACGTTTATCTATTAGTGTAATTAATTATAGTGTTTTATATAATGCACTTTACTTGGGGCTTCCCTTGAAGAACACTCAGAAGCTTCAGCTATTTCAGGCTGGTATAATAGTAAACTACACTTGTGCTCTTCTGTGGGCTTCTCTTCTGCTTTCAAATGCAAGGGTAGGTGGTGGTTACAATTTTTAAAGCCCTATATCAATAGGGACTTACTTTCCTCCCTCCATTCCTCAGCAAAATAACTGAGATGCTCCTCTTTGTGCTAGTCTCTAGATTCAAAGTCTTGAACTGGAGGAGGAGCATTTTTGGTGGCATCCTAAACAGTGAAATGTGCTCCCTCTGAATGTCTAATTTATCTCATTAGATTTCAGGGTATGATGTATGGCTCATTTTTTCCGCCAATCATTTGCTTGGCCTTTACCGAGTCTTAACAGATTTTGAAATCTAGTGACAGGTTGCTATTATTGCTGACTGTGAACACTACTAGTTGATGTTTGTTTTTATCTTATGTCATGGCGTTGGGTGCGTAATAATTTTATGGACTCTGTGCTGAACTCTTGTCACTAGGAGTTATAGCAATCAGAATGAGTACAGTTCATTTTCATTTGCTTAATGATGGACCAAAGCCCCAAGTCCATATATATCCATGACCTTAAAAAAAACAAAAACAAAATGTGAACCATTAACCACAACACTGGATTCTTAAGAGGGCAAAAGCATGAGAAGTCAGCAAATGCAATAGGGCTGGCTCCTCAAGTTCTCCAACAAAAGGAGTCAGTAGGCTCCCCCAACATGTCTGACTGGGGTAAAGGGAGGAAGAGCCACATGGCAATCTTAGCCTTTCCCATCAGCAAATAGTCAGTAGGCATCCCTGACATTTCCTGCTTTCATGAAGTGATGTCCTCAGATGTATAAAGGCTTCAATGCAGAAGGGTGTCAGCCCAGAAATCTTTAGCAGCTGCAGAGAACGAATAATAATATTTCCCTCTTATATAGTGCTTTTCATCCATAGATCACCAAGCAATTTACAATGGAGGGTGAGTATCATTATCTCCTTTTTAGATATGGGGAAACTAAGCCACAGAAGTGAAGTGACTTGCTCGTGGCGGCACAGATCAGTGGCAGAGGTGGGAAAATGGTGACAACACAGCTTTTAAGGGTAGTTGCTGCTAGTCAGTCTATGGGTTGTCATTAAGAATTAAAATAAGAAATAAAAACGAAATTCATATGTGTTTACCTGTCTGGCAAGTCACACAGAAGTGGAATATTTCTACTATATGTGGAATAGCAGGAAAGGCTACTTGCGGTGCACATTTTGACACAGCATGTTTAAGGATAACAAATGTAGTTGCAAGTACTCTATAACTGCGTAACTTATGTGTGAATAGCGTTAACACAGATGAAGCTAGACATGCCTGGGGAGGAGAATATAATGATTGGTATATTGCACTAAACACACAGATTTGGTGGAAGGCAGTAAGAGCGCTGATTATGTTGCTTTTGAGGACCATCTTCCAGGAGATCAGTGAAACAATACTGGTCTTGGAGGAAATTACTCATAGCCAAAATAATGGGTCACAATGGCATTAAGATATGGGGGAAGTTAGATATTAAAGAATCTCACAATGAAGGGACAAAAATAAAATCTCACTGAATTTCCAAGAGCAATTTAGCGAAAGTATAGGCAGATCCCATGCACCAACAACTTCCTAAAACTCAGGTGCTTATAAGTTGGGGAGGTACATAGAACAAATTCACCCTGAAGTCAAGGGACTTGGACCAGGGATAAATGAGGCCCTTTGTCGTTATTTAGTCAATGATTTTTAGATCAAGGTCACCTATTTTTAAATGAGGCCTCCAGAAATAAAATACAGCTTATAAAACTATCAGATACTTTCAACTATATTTCTGTTAGCTCAATCATGCAGAGTTCAGCACACATTATCAAAATGTGCACAGCAGTGGCCTTTGCTAATATTTCAGACAGAGCAGAAATACAACTGTGTGATGAGCTAAGCAGGCAACATATTACACATATGATTTTTACTGCTTTTCTTTTATCTTCAATTCCCTTATTATAAAGTACCCACTAGCAAGTTTTTAAACTTACCATGTAGAAGTGCAAATGCGGGAGAAAAAAAGTAGAATTTCAGATTACATTTTGCCTTTTTTGTCTTTAATGTCTAAAATGAAAAATTGCAGCATATTAGTCCATAAAGGTGGACTAGATACTTTGATTTCCAATAAAAAAAAATACATGGACCAGTTCTTCCAACACTTATCCATACAACTAGCCTTATGGGAAGCTAGTTTCAGATGGAAGTCAATGGATTAGTGTTGAAATATTCACACATTAGTTCAAGACACTAATGTTTAAACCTCAGCTACATTGCTCTCTCCGGAATTACTAAAGAGAGACATACCTGTATAGTTGAATGTTAGCTTATTTTTTATGAAAAATAATTTTGTAGAAAAATAAAAATTAGAAATGAAAATAACGTCATCTAGTCATTTCCCAAACAATGCTGGAATACTTTCTATAATACATTTTCTAGTGACTTGAAAATGCATCAGCATTTTCATAACATTTTTAATGTGCATGTCCATGCAAATATTATAGCTCCAAACTATGGATTATCACATAATCATAAACATTGACAGTCCATACATAAGCCGTTTTCATATACAAATTACACATTCCTGAAACATTAAATCTTTTCCTGCCTTTCCAAAAACTCACTGCTATTCATTAGATTTTAGTCTTCAGGGAAGAAAATCTCCTGCAGAACAGGCAGGATTTTAAGCTCCATTCACTGTCTTGTTCTTTATATATGTGCAGACAGGCAACACAGTACAATAAGGAAAATGGCAGTGGTTCGAAAACTGGGTCTCCACAGGCAATTAGCACTTACGTGAAGTATGAGTGCGTCAACACTTATAAGATACCCAAAAGTTTGTAGAGGAAATTATTAGGAAGGATTGCAAGTATCATTGGATTCATATCCAGACCCTACTACTGTGGTATCTGAGTCTGGCATTAGACATCAATCTCAGATGTGGAGGAAGAAGGTTCCCAGGAGCCAGTGGTGTTTAGAAGTTCCACAGTGACATTCTCTTTTTCTCAGCTAAGGCTGAACCAAAGTTTTCTAGGATAGTAAAGGCAGCACGACCTTCACCAGCTGCAAGGAGAGGTGCTCCATCTCACTGCCCATTTGCTGTTATTAAAATGAACAAACACTCAACTGCCAAAGGAATACTTCCTGCATGGGCAGCATGCCATTAGTGACCATAGTGCCTGACTGCAACCCTCCCTCATGCAGGCGGTCCCATTGGCTTCAATCCTATGCACGATGGGTGGGATTTTCAAAAATGTCCAAGTCACTTAGGAGCTTCTGAAAATCCACTCAATAAATAAAATCAACTTCCACGAGACTATTATCATGAATGGGAGTTCAGCAGCCTAAGGGTTGCACAATAGAACCCCTTCGTAGGAAGAGCGAGGACAAAGGGGATCATATGGAAGGCCTTTTCAAACGCTAAAAGATGTCCATACTGTGCAGTATACTGAGCACCAACCAATGACTCTTCTTTGACAGAGCATATATTTCCTTTTTTGTATTCTATAGATCTTTTATTGGCTTGACTATAGTGATACAGCAGAAGGCCACAGAAGTATGAAGAGAGAAGGCTAGAATAGATTCAAAGCATAAAAGCATATTTACCAGCTATAGTTAAGATACAAGATGTAGCTATCTTTTTTCCATTTCGTCTTGCGTTTTATATAATTGAACAGTAGTTTTAATTTACTGCTTTCTTATACACAAAAATATCCGTGACTGGGAGGAGGGAGTGGGCCTGTTTTTCTTACTGTTTTCTCATTATTTTAATTTCATATACATTTTGTATAAGATCAGTCTTGGAAAGCAACTTTGTTTTCTTAGCATCTGCTGATCCTCTTAGAGTTTACTAATTTACTTTACTCTCATTTGCTTCCATTTATTTTACTATCATTTGATGCTACTGACTTTGGTGAAGCTACTTTCACTTAAACAAGATCTGAATTCAGTTCACGAAACCCTTTCCTAGCCATGGGCGACTGTGTGTGCCATTGACTTGGCATACATATCAATGTCAGGAAGAGATCTTGGTGAGGGAGCCAGGGCAGTTGGCCTGGTCGACAGCAAGCGGTCAGCGGAGGAGACTGTGCTCCATCCTCCCATCTGCCATGCTGGGATGCAGCACCAGCCAGCACTCTTCTCTCTTCTTCTGCCATTCTCCAATCTCCACAGCAAGACAGCCAACATATACAGAGTCACAACATCAAGGCCTTTGTTCTCCTTTACTCTGTTTCCCCTTTTCCCAAAAACATTATCTTC